GAGCGGTTCTGTTGAAAAAAAGGCAAGAAAATAATCAAACACCACTTTCAATACATTCTTTTATTTACCTGCAGACAACTATGCCACATCCCCAGCAGCTATAAGCCAGGCTAATTCAAGTCAAGACATTACAGTCTCCAACCAGCACTGAAAACTCATTAATAAATCACTCAGGTGTGGTGGATGGCCATCCAAGTTTCTTTCACGCAATCTGGCAGCTAAATGCCCATCTAACACAGAGTCCATAACGATATAACAGAATTTAACAAACCATTGTGACCCTCCTGTGACAACTCCTCATAAATTATATGCCAACAAGCAAAGCGGCCCATGCCAGTGGAGAACGCCACGCACACAGCCACCCCAGCCCTCTCCCTGGCTGCAGGGAAAGCACGCGAGAGCGGTGCCTTGCAGCACCTTCTGCAAACGAATGGCACCATCAGACCGCAAGCACATATCTTTAAAAGGGTCACCTGTGTCACAGCATATTCTTGTTTGGCTCATCTGGGTCTCCCTGAATACTTGAAAGGAAACAAACATTTCCCTGGTTTTGTAAGATGAACTGAGAAGATTAATTTAATAAATTAACTGTGGGGGCAGCGAGGAGAAGGCAGTCAGCAGAACTACGCTGGGATGTAAAAAGCAGCCAGAAACCACTGCCATCATATGAAGAAGTTCTTAGATGGTCATTTAATCTAAATGAACAAGTGACACTTAAATGAATTGAAACAAAACCTATTGCATTCACTCATGTTTTACCTACCTTTTCCTTTGATGATGTTTCTGTTTGCACGCTTTTTTCTTCCTTATATAAATTGCCTTCACATGAATGTTTCTATCATTAAAATAAGAAGCAAACAATTGAGTACACTACTAAAACCAATGAACATCTTTACTTAGGACTCTTTGAAACAAAGCTTGCGTTTTCAGGGAATGCTATTCCCATTTTACAGAAAATTGGGGCTTGTTGGGACTTTTCAACAAGACGTAAATGAGAAGTATTATTCTGTGTCACGGAAGAAAGAGTTTGCAGCAAGTTTCTTGCTCTCTTCCTGAACTCTGTGGATTTAAGGGCGAGCAAAGGAAGGAAGGTTGGCTTCCCCAGGAGCACTACAAGCTCCACAACACACAATGCAAAGTCCTGTACTCCTGTCCAGAGAGTGACTGCTTGGGCCTCACTACTCAGTAGACTGCAGTCTTCTCAGGCTTCTTTTTACAGGAAATAATGTTTAGAAATCTGGGACTAAAGCACATCTGCTAAAAGCGAGTGCTGCTGTCCCCTGTACAACGAATTGCAGACCCAGAGATTTCTCAAGCTAAGTCTCTAAGCTGATTACTCGTCTTCCTAGCCTAGCAGGTATTTTCAGTGACAGATCTCCAGATGCAATACCTGTTAAATGAAAGTACAAAGTGCAATCTTTCACTTATGGGGCCCAGCGCTTTTGGAAATTACTTACAGATGCTTTGCAAGGTCATCCTGGGAAATTTGATACATGATTGGCAACGTACATGTCTTACTCAGGTCAAATTATAGTATGTGCACACACATACACATGCACATATATAGGCACACGCGCATATATATGCAATGACATGCAGGTGGATTATGGAACAGAAAGCAAATATACAGGAAACCCAAATATAAACTTTCGTGTATTGGCTTCATATAGTTTGCTTAATGTACAGCCCTTTCTCAGATCCTGCTTATTAACATTTTGAAGGCAGGAATCCAATTTTTCCATCATGATGTGCTAATGTAAAATGCATTAGTGCTAACATGAGACTTCCTGCCATTTCTGGCTCCAAGAAGAAGGGGAAAATAATCCTCCTGCCATTGGTTCATACTACAACTGTAATTTGTGTATTTAACACAGCAACTGTCAGCTCTCAGTTCAAACTATTCAGGGTTTTTGCCTTTAATCTTTATAAATGCCTTTGCATGCCAGTACATTTCCTAAAGTAGTCTGGAAATTTTTTTGATAAAGCCATTCCAGAAGTCCTCCAGGCTTTCCTCTGCAGAGAGTCCTGGGGTTTCTGGTTTAGCTCCTCAGAAACACAGCCACAGGTTTTCCCCAGTCCCTAACTCATTTCTGAATACTCTATGTCTTAGGTATTGCACAAAGCGCGCCTTTATTTTCTTCTCCTTTCTGCCGTTTCACTCATTCACAGCACTGACTTCTTGAGCTGGAGTGGGGTTTGCGGGAGGTTTCTTTAAAATATAAGGCAAAATAAAAATAGGGGGCCAATAAGTGATTGGCCAGGATGGAGAGAGGGAGAGCAGTGCCCAAAGTTTCCGATTTGCTCCCAGAGGATTGTGGATGCATGAAATGCACACAAATAAATTTCAATGTGGCAAATTTCATATGCCACAGGGCAGCAAATTTAATAAAGCAGATCACGTAACCAGCAAAATTCCAGTTTTATGAACACTATATAAGGCAGGCAGAGAAAAATCAACATCTCAAAGCCAGTCTCCTGCTTGGTTGCCAAGGCTGCCTAACCAAAAAATTAATTAGACGATGGCTAACCGGAATAAGGGGAAGGGAAACAACTCTCTGCCGCAGAGAAATGAAGCCCACTGAGGTGGATCGGTGGTATCACAGACCCCTGAGAAGGGAAAGGTGTTCTGGGAACAGGCTCACATGGCTCAGGTTTCGCTCTCCAGCCTGCTTACTGCACTTTCCAAAGGCTGAAAGGCTGAAAATGTTGCCACCTTCTGGCATTTGCAGTTTCTCCGAAACATACACTGGCTTTAGCACTGGTAAAATGTGCCTGGGTCCAGGTATTCTCCCTTGCTCAGCGTTGTTAATACCAGGAGCACATGCAAAAGCTTCCCAAGAAGCATGTTTTTGCCAGAGAGCCTCCTTCTTACCCCAGAGGGACCGTTCTCCCCATGGTAAGTAAATCTCACAGCTCAGTTTTTTTAAAGGTGCAAATCTGTGGCAGTTACGGCACATAAAACTATCCCGGTATTTACTTCTGCCTATCATCTTGAAATATTCACAGAAGCCCTATTCAAGGGCAAAACTGCAATCCTAGTAATTATTCTGCTTCTGTCATCTAGAGGGATCAATATTCACTGTCCTGCACCCCATCGAGCGTTGCCCCAGCAAAGGTTTTCTCCGATAGCGGAGCCCACGGGGTCAGAAGTTAGGGCTGGGACGAGACAACTTTCAGAGCTTCCAAATCAAAACACTCATTGCAGTGTTAGCAGGAGCATCTCACATTTGTGCTGCTATTGCGCTGCTCGAGGAGTTTTTAAACTCAAAACGTCATAAACACAACATGATGCACTTTCATCATGAGGCTGAGAAGTGTCCCACTGAAGTGGTATCTTTGGCAATCTCTCCGTGTCACAAGAGGTACTTTTCTATCACTTTCCATCTGCCCTACGACACCATTTCCTCCTTCAGTAACACAGAATACTTTCTATTAGCTCATTTTATGCCCTCAGACCACTCCCAGAACTTGTACACCTTCAAAACGGGAAAAAAATCAGGAGCCCTTTTCAAACTCAAACAACAGTAAAAAGTCACTTAGAATCTACAAGTCAGCAATGCATAACATTGCCTTGTTATAATAACTGTGAGCATTGACTGAGACAGCCATTGCACTTAAGTAAAAATGCCATACATTTGGTAACATTAACTTAAAAGTTTAGCGATCAGCTAGAATCTTGTGAGAATTTTGTTTGTTCTTTTAAAGAGGATTTTTAGCAAGTGTTCGGAACAGACTAGTGTTACCCTGCATTTTACAATTTGCAAGTCCCTATCACAACACTGGAAACACAACTGAAACATAAAAATAAAATTAAACACTTTTAAGCAGCCACAGAGTAATTTCTGGTAGATTTAAAGTATGCTCTCCTGGTCTCTACTGCCGCTGCAGCTAACTTGGAGAGTTATGTCTGATGGTATCTAATCGATGCCATCTGTCAGATCAGGAATTCTACCTGATAAAAGCCTGCCTTACAAATTTCTGGGCAATTTTAGTTTGAAGAAAAATCTAGCCACTTTTAAGATCTCTTCTCTGCCACCATTTGTGCGCCTCTGCTTCTCATCTACCTCATACTCTGGGACATGCTCTTAGAGAGAGGAGCTAAAACATGGGCCACCCAAACCCTGGATACGAATATTTTTTCCTCCTTTCTGCTGTAACATCACAAGTAGACAATCAAAGACCGTCCTTTTTTCCTTCCCAGTCCTGCACGGAAAATTCAGCTAGCGCAGAAAAATTAAATGTTGTTCAGGTGCAATGGCATTCATGAAATCGGGATGAAAAGATCTCATGATAGAATATTTAAGCCGTTAATATAAGGCCCTTATTTAAAACAAAGAAATGTTCTTACTTGGTATTCACTACTGGATAAACTCCGCTTACACTTTTGACACGTTGTCACGTTATTAACACATCCATTTTCCAAATGATCTGCAAGTTTCTTCCTCATCACCATGTGTCCACAGCCAGTGTGACAAGGGATTAAAGCATATTCGCATAGGCTCTGATGCTCCTGGAAGTTAAAAGTTGTAAACCGAATTGGAAACTGCAGATACATGTTTGTCTATAAATAGTCTCTATTCTGCCAGCAAAGATCTTTGCTTTGCATTTCTTCTAAGATTGGGTAAAATCCCACTCCACAATGTTACAGTGATGACTGTTGAAAAGTTCACCTCCTTTACTGGGGCTTTTTTTCTTATTAATTCTTAACTTAAAAAAAAACATAAGGAAACTTTATATAAATTCAAATATGAGCTCTCTCCTGAACAGGTTTCAGCTTCCTTCTTGTCTTAGAAGATCCCTAACTTTCTTTTTTTTTTTTTTTTGCTTTGTGGAGCATTGCGACTGTCCTGCTCTGGCTGGCAGGATTCAGAGTACATCTGCCATGCAGGACATCTGCCGACATCTCTGCACAGGATTACAGAACGGACATCTGTTACCTTCTTTACAACAATTAGGACACAACTCTTGTCTACATTCAAAATAACTTTTAAAATGTTTCCGCTTCACCATTTGCATTCCTTCAGCTGAAGGAGAAAAAAAGTCAGCATTGTTCCTTTTGCTACCACCTCCAGCAGTTCAACTTTCAGATTCTTAAAAATACAATATTTCATTAAAGACCGTTTATTCAGGTCTCTTCTCCCGAAGCTTCTGCAGGCACCGTGTCGCAACTGATTTTGCTTTTAAAGGGAGATGGCTATCTCCTACAGAACTGGCTCAGAAGTGCCAATTCCCATCACACGCTTAACTCTCAAATCCATTTTGCAGTGTATTCATGCTGAGAGGGGCTTCTTGCACCTCTCCAACTCTCACAGCTTTGGAGCTGAGCAAACTGGGCTCAAACTGATTCTTCTTTAAAGAGGAACGCACTCAAAGAGAAAACGTGCACAATTGCAAAGATAACAGAAGAAACGGCAGCAGCATCTCAGAAGCTTATCACATGCCGTCATACAGGTGATATATAGCACTCGCCCTGTTATAAATGCAGCAAGGCCCTCTGTTCTTGCACCAGGGGACCAAAACAGAGCTACTTTGGCACCAGGAGAATTTTTGCATATTTTTCCTGATTCTAATTTGCGTGGCAGATTTCCAGATCTTGCCCATCTAAATATTTTGCCTGTGACTTTTCACATCAATCTGAAAAGAATGAGTAACATATTCAATAAACAAGAGACAATTACACAGGGGAAAATTATTTCTCTTATAAAAACCTGCTACGCATATTGCTCACAACAATACCCTGGAGATCAGAGTATTTAGGTCCAATGAAAAATGCTTGTAGCATCCCTGCCTTTAACTAATAATTAAACCGATTGGTAAAAAATTGTAATTGATGCAAATTTTTGCAACATGAATTTCACAAACATTCAGGATGTGCTGGATCTGGTCAAAACCCTACTAAAATCAATGTTATGTTTTTAGATACTCTGTTGGTTTAAATCATGGTAACTTTGCTGATTTTAATGAAATTACATGAATCTGTGTTTGACGAGAACCTAGTTTCATTCTATTTTTGTTCCTATTCAAGGAAGAGCATGTTAACTTAAATAAACTGTCTTTAAACATACTTCAAAATTTTTCATGATCCCAGACCAACTGCATCCCAGGGTCACACAATGTACTTTGAGTTCAGAGATCTCTTTATTAATGGCAGCATCACTGAAGGCCTGGAAAGTAAACACAATAAGGAAAAAAAACACTGGTCAGAAAGTACTCCAGAATGCATCTTCCACATAGGAACAAGGTGACTGTGTCAGGACTTCAGATCTTAATAAATCTCTTTATTTTTTATTTTATTTACTGTCTTACTATAAGATGCTCTAACCTAACTGATAGTTTAGTGTTAGTAAAGTCCAAATAATTATCAAATCATTTCTTTCTTATGGTCCAAAAATAGACTATTTGATATGACATAAACTTATTGAAAAGTATGCCTGGCCAACGGCAGCTATTATTTTAAGTTCCTTTTCACAGATGCCTGAAATACATCACACGCAACGACTGTGCTGACAGGACCCCAGCTATCGGGTGCTGCCATGTGCCACTCTAATGAACGCGTTTCATTACTGGGGCCATTAACACCTCCTAAACATGCTGCAGAGAGGACTTGAGACTGTTTTGCAGTGAGAGTAAATTTCTCAGACCGTGGCTGTTTCCATTTAGTACAGCACTGTGTATTAACGAAATGTAAACCACATGTGAGAGTTTTTTTTGCACTACATAGGTTTCTTTTCTTACATTAACCATGAAGAACACTACAAATCATGTTTCGCTACACACTTTAAATATGAAAATCATGAAACACTGTGCACTTTTAATTTCACTTGTCACACAATCAAAATAGGTACACTGACACAGGACAGTGTTAAGGCGGTGTTCAGAACAAAATACAGAGGTCTTTGGATTTCCCATCTACCATAACATAGAGCAAGTCAGGAACAGCAAATAGAGGGGGGGGAAAAAAGCATTTACAAACCATGCCCACGCTTCAGTAAGCTGCCCAAATTCTACACAATCAACTAAAAAAAGCACAAAAAGAAAATCACCAGGATCAACATTCCTCAGTTTGTTTTTTACATCTAGATACAACATGTTTTAGACTTATCTACACTTGTCAAATTAAACCACTTGAGGAAGCACAACCAATTCGATGATGAGTAACTGCGAGATTCATTTAAACAGAGTCTCACAGAAACTTCTTTCCCAATCTCAGCCTGGAAGCGACGTCCACCTCACGAGAAGTTCTGCATACAAACTGTGAACAACTTCATAAGCAAGGAATTTTTAAAAAGTCATGTAGCTTGTACAATAACAAGTGTGGCTCCATCTGCATATATGGAAGATTTTGCGTAATCAGCTGGCACCGTGCAGTGAGTGGAAGCATACCAGCCCCAGCCTCTAAAACAGCCTAGTCTGATTTACGAGCAAAATCAAAGAAAAGAAATTCAAGTTATCAGGCACATGGTGACTTTTCCCCCCTGTGTCATAAGAGAAAAACTCAAGGAATTTCCTGACATTACAAAATAGATCATTAAAAACGTATTTAACTACAGGGACAGCCCCTGTAGCGTATGGGACTGCCGTGTGCATTCCCTGTGCTTTTTGTTTCACATTTACAATTGCTAAATCACTATGGACACAACTCAGGCAAAAAGCAAAACCAGAAATCCGCATTTCTTCTTTTATCCACACAGGTCACTGCTTCAGCTGATTCACCTGAACGTCTTGCCCTTGTATCTGGGCACGGGAGCAGACAGATTGCCCCGAGCTCTGTTAGGGGCCTGCGTCAGATCCTCGTACGGTAAATGAAGTGACTCACCCTGACAAGAAGGTGCTCGGGGCGAAGTGGAAGAAAACAGAAAATATTTCTCTCTGATTTCATATACTGTAGTTGGATATCTCCCCTCTTTCCTGCTGGCCGTTTCAAAGGAAGGTGTTGGTGCAGGGGCTGCTAAGGTTGATAACGTGGGGCTGTTGCAGGACGCAGACCCATGCCCAGACCAGCCCCGTCCCAGAGTGGACTGTGAGACAACTGCAGGTCCGCTGCCATCTCCCACCCACAAAGTGCTGCCAGCTCCTCTCCTCCTTGGCTCTCTGACCCACATGATGCGTGTCTTGAGGCGTTTAGCTAAGGGAAGACTTGGGGCTACAGCTAATACGGTCAGGGAGATCAACTAGCAACATGTTTAACAAGCAGATGAATCTGCCCCAAAAGCAGATCATGGGATAAGCTATGGCAAACGCACATCTTGACAGGGCCTTCCCCCCCGCCTTGTGTTTATATAACCATATAAACAAATGGCACAGGGAATCAACACAAACCAAAACCACAGCAAAGGTAAAGCTGAGATTCTCAGGAACAGATACGGAACAAAGAACGGACCTGCTAAATGACCTTCACTATTCGTGCTGCTTGCAAAGTCTGGGCCACTCGTTGTAAGCTGATCCATCCAAGCAGATCCTCATGCCTTTGTGGTGACTGACCTCATCTGGGCTCCCAACACGCACACACGATGCTGCCCAGGCAGATCAGCTTGCAAGAGCGCGGCCCTGTTTACAGCAACCCACCCACAGATTTGCAGAAAATCCCAGGAGATACAGTACAAATCCAGCATCAGAGAAATCCCAGAGTTATAAGAGAATTGTCAGTTAACACAAAACAAGTTCATAAGGGTTTAGCTGTACCTATCTGGGCTCCTACGATGCATTAGATTCTGTTACTGGGAAATTCATTGCAGAATTGAGCCTTTTTTCCAAGATCCTACCAAGTTCAGCATTAACTGTAGAATTATTATTTTGCTGCAGCCAATTCCTAAATCGTGCCTTTTAACTCAGCGCCGGCTGCCTCTTGGGACTCATTTTCCCCTAACAAATCTAGATGAAATGTGTACCTCTCGGTACTCTGGCAGGTAATCAGAAAGGAGGGAAGCCTCCTGGGCTGGGACTGGGACCTACAGTCTGATTTGTGCTCTGGTGTGCTCCATTAAGATGCTCTTGCCTCCAATTGCAACTACAGACCCAGCACACACGTCAACACCACAGTATATGTACATAAATGGGCAACAGAGAAAGGTTTGTGCGAACACATCAGAGTATGAAACGACATATACCAAAGGAAACGACTCATTCTGCTTTTGTATGCCAGCCCTTCACACACACAGACTCCTAGAGAAAAGGGGCTTATGGCCAAATCACTCAAAAACACTGCAAGAATATTCTGGGATCACCTGGAAAATGGCATGAAACTACTGAGCACTGCACAGTGCAAAAACTACAGAGGAAGCGTTTGCCAGGGCATGATTTTTATCAACGATTATTTTCAGCTATAAGTTTTCCAGTCTTTTCTCCATGCATCTTGGCTCTCAAAGCATTCTCTAGCCAATTCAGCCAACTAGCCGAAACCCTGGCTTCTTCTTTTAGAGACCCTCTTCCTGAAACTTTGGTAAGGTGTTCAAAGGGTATGGAGAGCCATGCTGCTTGAGACCAGGGGATCCCCTAGGGTGCTCACTAAGGATAGTAAGTAACAACTAAGGCACATTTTGGCAAATAGGAAAGCAGTAACCCAGGTTACTCAGACAATAAACGTCAATTATATGGAAGACTGAGATTTTATGTTCCAGAACCTTACGGTCTTAGAAGGTCCTAACTCTACCGTTATACTTTTTTATTAAAAACTGGGAAATTCACAGAATCACAGAATCGTTTAGGTTGGAAGGGACCTCTGGAGATCATCTAGTCCAACCTCCCTGCTCAAGCAGGGTCACCTAGAGCATATTGCCCAGGATCACATCCAGACGGATGTGATAAATTCGAAAGAGTAAAGTACAAGTAAAAATGTGTAACTGGAATACATCACATTTTAGATTATTTCCTTCTGAATTATAGTCCTACCATGACTATAGAGTAGTCCAGAGAATGCTTAATGATGAACTAATGAACTGTCAGCTGCGGCTTACCCTTTCTTCTGCCAACAGGCTTCCTTCACTTAAAGTGCTGGGATCCTCCTCTTTACATTTCTGGCAGACTGGATTTTTATTGTTTCTGGCAAAAGGAAAGAACAATGAAATAACAATCAATCGGTGAGCTGTAGGTTACAAGAACTTTTTATGGACATGAACACAAATAAAAACCTGGAAGAAATCATTTCCATTCAGAATTCATAGTCTTTCTCATTAAAGGGCCGATTCTTGAACCCACTGAAGTCAAAGGAAAAACTGCTATTCTCTTCCTCAAGACCAGGCCCAGAAATCCGATCTGTATTTCAGCAAATTGAGAGCAGTCAGGATCATGAAAAATGATAAAGCTAGGAGACTATTCATCTTATGAACTACACAAAAACACCATATAGGAAAGGTAATGTGAAAACTGAAGTCTTTTCAAACAGGGAGGAAATGCCTGTTTTCCTGTGACAGATATCGAATTGCAAAACATAGTAAAATTGGCACAGGACCGAGTTCTAGAGGGTTAACTTCCTACTGCAGATGAGAAATGTCTTGATTTACTCTCATAACATTTATTATAGAGTTTCATATAAGAAAAGTGAAAAATAAACCTTTGTTAGAGAGATGTATTTCATTGCCAGTGCAGGTTATCATCCAGGTGACTCATGCACTAACACAGGCCAAGAGGCTCATCAGAAAAGCATCCAGCTGACCAGAGGAAGAGCATGACATAACTGGTTTCAAACTGCACTAATCACTTGGTTTGAGTCAGTTTTCCATTTGTGCCAGTGGAAAGATATAACAATTCATACACGTTACACGCACACATGTTACATTCTAACATCAGTTTTCTTAAGTTAAGATACATGTTGCTTCATTAAGAGGATTCGTTCCGGGTTTACCTTAATGGATTTGTAACAGTAGGTCAAATGTATTCAATTCTATACACTTTTACAGTATTCCGCATTGCCCTTCAAACCACATGGTTGGACCACATGTCCATACACGGACTCAGCTTCCCAGGTGACATCGACACTGATCAGAGCTGGGACTGCATGCATGGGCGTACCCCAACTAACAGTAACACAACAGTCTTACACTTATTCAGCCAGTACTAAAGCCCCCGTCACTGCATCTTGACTGCTGCTGTTTTCCAAAGCATCAAAATTAAAGTCAGCTCAGGGATGTGGACTGCAGTTTCACCTCCCACCTGCAGGGCAGCCATAACCTTTTTCAAAGGCTCTGCGTCAAGGTGTAAGTGCCAAAAGAAAGAGGAAGATAGAAGCAGCTAATCAATCACAGCAAATACCCACCTGGCTCCTGGTTTTCAGGTTCTCCAAGAAAAGAGCTGTCATTGTTTGTCACTAATGACAGCACCTTACTCTGTGGTGACCCAGCTGAGTTTATTTAAACTAAAACTCTAAGAAAACTTGTATTAAACTCCCATAACATCACTTATCAAAGGACTGCAGAGTCCTATGCACATATTAAGTTAACCTTGCAATAGTTCTTCAAGGTTACATCAGTACTTTTATCTCACACCTCCACGTAGGAAAGCTGAAATCTGTCAGTCCCAGTAATCCTGCCTTTCCCATCCTATAGAGACTCCCATGCTGGAAACAACGAAGGGGTGCACAGTATCCCTGTAGTTCCCCAGAGTTAAATGTTCCAAGGTGATAAAATGACTCCTGTCCAGTGGGCCAGGTAGTCACAAGCTCTTATCTACTGAGTATCTTGGCACAACACAGCTCTCAGGTGCTTTGCAGCCACAGAGTCCGTCCTAAGCTGTGTGACCCTCTGCAGAAAGGACCTACCGTACGATCCATGCCAGGCAAGCAGAGCAGTAGCGATGCCCACACAGTGTCTGCAGGGCTTTCTTCAGAATATTATTGCAGTTGCTGCACAGGTACTTCTGATCAGGCACATCTTCACAAATGCTAGTGGGATATCCAAAAGGAAACTCATTTTCATCGGGAGAAGATTCAGGGACATCCTCCGGGCCTCGGGTGGTTTTCTCAGCCATCTGAAGTAAACTACTGCCGAAGATGAGGAACAAAATAGGTGCTGAAACAAGTAGACACCCGCTCACTTTGGTGTGTAAGAATACATCGAGCATCAAAGTCCACAAAGCAACTCCAAACCTGTGTAGTAATCTAGTGATGTTTAATTGAATCTGTAGCTGACATGCGTGGCTAAATGTCACAGTGGGGTTTGACTAGGTACCAGCAGGAAATTACTGTACAGATTTAAAATTCCCCTCAAACACAATATGAAAATGGACAATGTATCAAAATCAAGGTTTGGGGTTTTCTTCCCGCATAATTTTCTAGTTTGTAGAAAGATGAAGCGAACAGCCCCATCATCTTGGAGCTACAATCCTATTAGTCAACTTCACACAGAGGAACTATTTCCTGTAGAGTAAATCCCCTGTTGCCTTCGATTCCCATTAGCCAGAATTTGCGATTCTGCTTTAGAGATGCAGAAACTGGGCAACTGATGTGTTTAGAGTGACTTTCCCAAAGTCATAAAACCGGTGGCGAAATGAAAAGGCACTCTCAAGTCCACAGAAAGCTAACCCTTGTGCTCTAACCAGAGCCACGCATGCAAAGGTGCCAAGCACGGCCAGTACCAATCTTTGTTAGGGGAGCTGTGCAGTTGAAAATTTTTGGAAATGTAACCAAAACTGATTCTAGTGGTCCCCACAGTGCTTGGAAAGTTCAAGGCAGGTTTTAACAAAGGGACCTGGCAAAGTCAGATCATAATAACGCCTTTATGAATCTGCTTTTTCCCGTGACAGTACTGACATACAACAGTGTATCTCAGGACCAACTGTGACGATTTCAAACGTAACTTTTGACTTGCAAATGTCTGGAAAAAAATACAACATTAAAAGCTTTTAGACATCTTCAAGTTTCTGTGTTACTATAAAGATTTGAAGAACCTCTAAATTCACTGGGACAGGCAGAAGCCTTAAGAAATAAAATACCACGTGGAAGTAGGACAACGTTTTTGGGCAACACTTTGGGCCAGGCCCACAAAGCGACATCTAGAGAAGGACTCATGAAGAATTTAAACAGCAGATTCTTTGCCGGAGCCCAAAGGTGCCAGGTTGCCTTGGGCCGAGTCTGGCCCAGGACACGTCACCGTTCCAAAGGCCATCGCATCCAAAGGCCAGGAAGGGGGCCATCAGCACACACACAAACTTAACGATGGGAGATCCAAGTTTAGCGCCCTCCCCCACGTGAGAGGCTTCAAACTCACATCTCCCGCCTTCCCACCAGGCACTGTCGTTGACGCAGACACTTTCCGCAGCTCCTGCTCGAGCTGTTTGCTACGTAGGAAAAAACTGCAAGACTCACGGGGCCAGAAAAAGAGCAGAAGCAGCAGCTTGCCCTGAAATGCACTGGTTAGGGCATCCCCCGAGGAGGGAGCAGAGAAAGGGATGCTGCTGCAGTGCTGGATGAGGTGGCTGAACCACAGACAGGAGCAGGATTTAAAATATGCCTCTTTCAGCAGCATTTTGTGTTGGCTAGTGTAGCTAATTCTTCACCTGGCCGCTCTGGATTTAACTCTTTCTAGGCATTCAAACGGGAATTTAGCAACCAGCTACGGGGGCTGTCAGATCTGCCAAGAACCTAAAAATTCAGAATTGCGATGTCACAACACGCACGCTCCCGAGCGCACCGCGCTCCGGCTGGAGGGGTAATTCGCTGGCACCCGTTTGATGACCCGGGGGGATGGGAAGGCTCACGCCGGGAACCCCGCCACCGGCTTCTGCGGGAGCTCTGGCGGCCTTAGCAGCCCCCCCGCTACCCCCCTGCCCAGACGTCTGACATCAGCGAGGCTTAAGCAAAACAGCGCCTCATGGGTGGAGGGAGGGACGAGTCCAGCAGGCCCCGGC